TCCTCTCTATAGGTAAGATTCAGTAAGACTTTATCAGCCTTTGCAACACAGTTATGTCATATAAATGTCGAAGACTTAAGGTGTTGCTTTTGAGCAACATTTAAAGAAAAGAAAAGAAAATAAAGACGAAAGATTTGTGTTGTTGGTAGGCCTAAGTGATTTACGGCACTCACAACTGCATCAGGTCAAATAAGCGCCAGGGACACACCAAACGTTTTTAGTTGATAGGAAATCTGGAATTTTGCCCGGGTGATAGGCAAAGCATACTCTTGCCGAATTTCGACCACCAAAGGATCCTTAACGTGCGCAACTTGCACATGGGACCTCCGATATTTTTGGCCCTTGTTCGAGAAGGCTAGGTGTAGATCTTATCTACTATAAGATCAGGGATGTGGCTGAAAGAAAGCAGTAGTAAGAATGGGCAGAGGAAAGATGGTTGAATGGAAAGAGGGAGCACATCACACCAAAGTGCTTTACAACCATTTTCACCCTCCTCTCTGTCACGGTAGTCACCGTATTGTACCTTACTCTTTTTTACTCACGGGACGTAAGCGCCCTGTATGCCATGGGCTCTTGGTTAATGTTACTCACTTCGGGGATCTATAAAAAGTCAGACACTACACCCGGTCTCAACATTATTAGAATACTTGCTGTCGTGTGTGTTCGTCTCCAGTTTTACTGTCGTGTGTGTAGACTAACATTACACTCTCAACATGCAAAATAACAACTTTTTAAATTTGTTTAAAGTGCAGTTTCATTTTTAATTGTCTCGTTTTCGTGTGTTCAAGAAATGTTTTCTTGAATTTAAGATTCTAAATGTTAAAAAAGGAGAGAAGATTTATACATTAAAGGAACAATTTCAAAATTATTCATACAAGTTTTCCAGCTCTCTCCTGAAGAAAATTGCTTCCTAGGTTTAGAGCACTTTAACATCTTGCCAACGATTTGTTATTTTATTACACACATAATTTCTGACAATAGTGATTCAACACCGAAGGCAGGTTTGCTGATTTGGGGCACTTTAGAATAAAATAAACATGCAATTGTTATTTCTCACATTCTATATTCGAAACTTTAAAAAGCTTAGTATATCATTAAATATCATCATTACGAGTTGCAGATCTAAGAAAGAAATCTGCAATCTTGATTCTCTTTTCATTGCTTTGCTTGAATGCTCTTAAATAAGTTACAGTGTCCTGATCTTTCCACGTCAGCCATCTGTTTATGCTTCAAGTAGGTTACACAGTGTCTACCCTTGCCTCGTTTGCCTTCATTTTTACCAGTGAGAGCTAAATATTATTCGCATTAATTACGTTTATTCAAGTGTCTCAGAAACTGTGCTCGTCTCTTCATAATCGTTTTGATCAGCGAGAGGGTCACGTTGCTTTTTTTCACACACAACCTAATTAATTGATTCGTTTTACAATATGAAAACCATAAAATAATATAATATAAATTCTTTGAGTGTGTGTGTGTGTATGTGAGTGCGTGTGTGTGAGCGTGTG